TACTATTGTACATAGTCTGTGTATGTGCCTATGTAGCAACACAGGAAAACAAAATATTTAAATTGGGTTTGAATATAAATGTGTATAAATGTGTATAAATATATATAAATAGGTACCATAATAAACAGTATAAATAACATCACTCTATGCTGACCTACAATTTTATTCTACCTTTTTTTACCATAGTTAACACTTATCTTTAAGAAACCTTTGTCAATAATTTTATATTTAAATTGTATTAAAATATTTTAGCATTAAAATAGCTAAAAATACAAGGGTTAATTTAGTCTTTTGTCTCACATGTACAAATCCACTGAAGCAGGAATAATAATGAACAGAATTGTGACCTAAAAAGTTCTAATTTGACACTAATCAGTAATAAAAGGCAATGCAAACTTGTGTTAAACTGATTACACCCATATAGCAATATCTGTATAATGGCTTTAGCTGCTTAGCAACAAAAGTACGAGAATACCAGATAAAATGGATTATAAGCTCTGATTAGTCCCAGATGAATGTAACAGTGGCAAGTCAGGTTAATTTGCACTGTATATCATAAATGACACTCTTCTGAGCTATAATGGCAGAAGACATTTAATTTTATTCATTTTTTTTGTACAAATGCACATAAAAGAAATAAGACTTTATTTAACCTTACCAATGACAGTTTTGGTCACATACTACAAGGATTCTTCATAAACTAACTTAGAAAATATGACTTTGAGAAATCACAAGCATCATGATTGTCTATCCCTTTTTTTTTTTTTTTCTTTTTATTCTACAGTTTCTTACAAAATAAATCACTTTAAAAACAGAACTCCATTTTATACCTTTTCACTGGACTTGCAAACCCTTTTTGGAAATATTTAAATACAAGCCACAGTGGAAGGAAAACCAAGTAATCTTGGTTTTTAGAGGGGTCTGATGCAGAAAGAGATTAATGGATTTTTCAGAATAACAGAGGAACATCATGACAGCTGAAATGGAATAGAGCATCCTGAATTTCAGCTTTATAAACACCAGATTTCTAGCATTACTCAGAGTGTGCTAGGTGCAGTGCAAACAGCAGAAAGGAGTAACACCTGAACAGCAGAGCTCACAACCCAGGATACAGCAGCAGTAAGGCACCAGGTGGCATGTAACAGTGAAGGGATCAGCACTCTCCCACTGGGGTCACTACAGCCCCTTCTCCATGTCCCCCTGCCACGCCACATGGCTGATCTCTACCTTACAGCACCAGATGACAGGGAAGAAGTGAATGGTCCTGCAGGCCAGCCCAGGAGCTATGCTATGGGTAGATACACCGATTTTAACACTGTAAGGAAGAGCAATGTTTTTATGGGTGGCATAAGTCTGACTATTCGCCTGTAGTAACTGACTTTGTCTACCCTTCATTTAACCACTTTTTTTCCTCTAAGAGAAATTGCTCTAATGTTGACTAAGCGTCCTTTACGAGTTCTGCAACTCTATCATTCAACAGGAACATTTGTGTGCACCAAAAATACTCTCTACTATGTCTGTTGAACATAGTGTTATGAAAAGAGAAGGTGAGCACTATTTTCAAATTTATCTGATTTTATGGAATTGGATAAAAAAAATCTAATGGCAGATGTTAAAAGCAGCAGCTCTCTAGTCTTCTAATTTTATACTGAATTATCATAATAAAGCTTTCACTGCTTTAAATAATTTAAACCCCATTTTATTTCTTAAGTATTTATTAGGATAATTCATTATAAATTATAGGGTGTGCACATACATTTGTATGCATCTCAAAGGGTAGAGGTCTAGAAAATTTTAAGTACTTATGAAGAAAGCTGACAGAAGTGTAGGAGGAATTAAGCGAAGCTACTTATATTTTCTAGACCTTTCCATAAAAAGCACTTTAATTCTCACAGTTCAGAAACAGCCAACTGATTGAAGACAAGGAAGTCTTCAGAGAAACATGTCTAGAAACATTTAAATCCCCTTTGTCAGACACCTGACTGAAGCATTATCAATCAAACCTCATGTTAATACTGTTCCACAGTTGATCCCTGAAGCAGGGTATGATCTGGGAGGGAAGAGGACACTGAAGAGGGAAACTGGGCAGCATCAGTTTTCTGTCAGGCAAGAAACCCCTTACTGAAAAATCAAGGGACCAACACACAGAAAAAGAGAACATATGACGAAGAGTGGAAACAAAATTAGACCCTGAAAATGCCCTATGTTATCTCAATACCTTTATTGAGAAAACAACACCTACACAATGAAGTCCTGAATAAACCAAAGATGATGATCAGCAAAGGTCAGTTGTTACAAAAATGCCGTACCCTGTATGCCGGGCCTTGGGCCCAGGTTTTGCCACAGGAGTGCCAAATACAGAATGCAGCATTCATCATTCATATTCCTACTGAGAGACCACAGACAAAACACAACTCAAACCTCTGAACATGCTGACAGACACAATGAACATACCCTGGCAAAACCATACCCTGTCATAGTATAAGAGTGTTGCAAAATACTGTCCAAGGGTGACACAGTTTTACAAGATATGCTGCACTAGAATAATTAAGCTCCTTCCACATAAAAATCCAGATCAGCCGAGGCCCTGCCTGTAGGTTTTACCTTTTTTCTCATGTGTAGGACTGGGTTGCAGAGCTCATTCCTCAAACTACTGCAGACAAAACATCCTGTATCAGTTTTGCACACTTCATCCCAAGCTTTGGAACTCTCTCAACTTCTATATCACTGAAGAAGATTTCAAAACCATTCCTGAAGTACAGTACTCGAATATAATTTTTTTAATAGATCTAAAATATTTATGGGGGCAGGGGTGGCTCATTTTTTCATGGGCTTAAAGCAAATTGGTTTGATCAAAGTTTGCTTTTGTATTAAGCAGGAACATGAGAACTATCAGTCTCAAGAGTATTTCTTTAAAATAAGGAAGCTAGATGGAATTGTTAAAAGAAATTAAATATATAGTGCTAAAACCACACACTTAATGTCTGTTTTTTGTGTACATATAGTGTTTGTGCGTACATATAATGTATGACATATGATATATGTCAGTGTTAGTCATTATTTGGCCCAATTTCTGAATTCCAAAGTAATTTAAAATATTATCCCTTACTTGCCATGATAATAATAGATTCATTCAGTAAATGACACTAATGAAAAGCCTGCTCCATGTAAAAAATAAATAATACTGAAATGTACTTACTGTAAAAAGCATATTAGGCAAATTTTCTGCAGTGTCTTCAGCTGATTACTGAAGGAAAAGACTGCAGCATACAAAGTCAAACTTCTACATCTGCATTTTTGTGGAAGAGGAACAAAGCAAGTAATCTCATTACATAAAGACAACCTCTGAGTGCTTTGACAATGAATACTGAGTCAACCTTCCCATTAAGTCAGGGTGTATATGACAAATACGTTCTACTTGAAATGTAAAATTTAATTCCAGCATGATCACTTCAGGGACCAGTTCTGCAAAGTACAGCCACCATGCCATGGCACACAATAGCAGCTACAAAAGTAACTATATTCTACTGCGAAACACACTTCAAACCTATTGCACTACAGCCTTTGACTCAATGAAGCTATTTCAACCACAGAATAGGTTTGTTCAAGCAAGTTTCTCTACCTGTTTTTCTACTGAACCTGAGAAAATCATTCAGTGACTAATGTACTTGGTACATTTTAATTTGTTGCCATTCATAAAAAATGCATGTTTTTAGCAGATATATTGCCTTTGCTTTTTCATATATTTTGGTGTTCGGTATTTTCGTTCCTTTAGAAAGAATTCCTTGTAAATTGTTCATAGGACATGCTCATGAAAACCCTTCGATTTTTCAGCTATGAATTTTTAATTTGATTAGGTATCACTAGGTGTAGTTTTGATTGTTTGATAAGAGACACTAGCCTATGATTTGTAACTATAAACCACTTCAGTATGAGTTCCTCAGAGCTCAAGAAAAGCCACACACTACAGTTTCTCTCAGTTAAGAGATCTGGGAAGAGAGAAGGCAGTGAGAAGAACTTCTGCGTATCTTTGATGAAAGGCTTTGGAGAGCAGGGAGGAAGGAAGAAAGCATGGTAGAAAAGAGGGAAGGAATCTCTAGGAAATCAGAGGAGTAGCAGAAGAACCATTTGTCATAATTTGCTTAATGTACTACTGATCTTTACCAATGTTCCACATCAGGCTGCTGATATATTTATTCACACTCCAAGGAGTGCACTCAGTCCTAAAAGTCCCTTTCTGTTCATGGAGCTTATACCTCACCCCACTACAGTCTTTTAATCACTTCTTTCATCTGAAATGACATGCTTAATTCTAGCTATAAATTTTAAAATAATATGTTAAAACATTTTAAGAGTATGTTTACACATATAATAAAATTCTGAATGTGAAACACCCTCCACAGACATACACGCCTTCCTGGGCCACTGCTTTGTGCCAACTTCAAAGCATATAAAATGCTAGCATATTTTCACTATTTTAAGAACTGTATAAACCTATTGTTTGCTGTTTCTATATTCAAACCACTATAATCTGGATCATACTAGCCATTTTCCTACGGCTTTCCCACTGCGCTATTCATCTTTCCTGACAAATTTGATAGAAGGTCTTTTAGTCATTGCTTTTCTGCAATTCTACACACAAGTATTGCACACTGGATACTAAAAACATTTGTACTTAATTCAACAAATGATACACCCCATTAATGTACCAAAGAAACAGAAAATGGCACCTCAGTAGGTGCCATTATTGTGTATTTTATGCATGTGGGTTTTAAAAATTTTTAAACTCATTTACTGCCATCTCCTGGTACTTGCAAGGTAATAGTAGTTATGCTTTTTAACAGCAGCTAGTACTCCTGTAAAATACCACTGAAATGCCAAAAAACTTACCAGAAATATTTTCAAAATATTACTGTACTTTTAATGCTGTTTTCTTTCAGTCTGGAAATAATCAGTGTTATTCCTTGGGCAGAAACTGGTAAAAGACTCATGTAGCTTACCTTTGTCTGGAAGCAGCAGTAAAGTTGTGTTAAATATGGATGTTTCCGTGCTAATGCCAGAATTCTCTTTTCTGTCATTGTACAGTCTACATCATCATCTTGAAGTATGACATCTTTCTTCAAGACTTTCACTGCATATACTTCATCCTTTCCTTTTAGCTCGGCTAACATTACCTAAACCAAAGAAAAATTCTCTTTACGTATGAACAACGGATGCCGTAAGTTCAGGGTTTCATATGAGTTTGACTGCACTGAGAATAGAAAGACAGTTACATATTTGCTTAAATGAAGCAGCAATAAAATAAAAAGTAAAGTACTGTAATTTTAGAAGCACATACCTCTGGTATTCTTTAAATTTGAAACAGAAGGTATCTGTTCTGTTTGTTAGTTAAGTATCTTAATGAGTAGCTATTTGTGAGGTCTCAAAAACTAAACAAGGAAGGAAGTTGATGTAAAACAGAAATTTATTTCCCACTTTTATCTCCCACTTCTGGTAGTGAGATTTGAGTGATGGACTTTGTATACAATCCAAAGTTACCATTCCAGCTGCTTTCAAGTTGTTGATTTTAACTACTACTATTGTTTAAGATTCAGGCCCTATATTCTGTTTAAGGTCACTTCTGGCTTGGAGCCAGGAAAATTTTCAGAGAAAGGATTAGAAAACAGGGACACAAAAGAACTGCTTCAGACCTGCTCCCCTGCATGTGAAGTTCCCGTAATATCAAGAAAGGAAGAGTGTACTTCTGAAACAGATTCATATTTCTGTCCACCTCTTTGATTCCATGGTGCACAACAGTGTGGAAAGAAAACCTGTAAGCCTTGCAAACACAGCAATGCCCCTTGCACCCTCACCAATTCCCTACTACGGGAACTCTGGTGAGTTACATCTCTGCTGCTTACACTGTATTTTGGGCAGCTGTCTAAGCCCCGTCATATCTGAGTGGAAATGCTTCAGTTCTGCTTCCTCCAGCAACAAACACACCCACTGAGGAAAAACAAGTATGCACAATGTTCTGTGAAATAAGTAAACTAGGAATTATCAAGAACGTGAATTAACCCCACAGCATTACTCCTGACCTGATTTTTTCTGCTTGACCACAAGCAATTTTGTTGAACAGTATGTATGTAACTGTAATGAAACTCTGACATTTTGCTGCAAAAGGCTCAGCCATAGTTAACAAAGTGAGCTAAAGCACAGACAAGGTCAGCTCACCAGGACACTGATACTTTTGACCTGCTGGGTAAAAGAAAACCCCTAGGCTGGAAGCACTTTCTGAATGTCAATATGAACACTTCCAAATCGGTACAGTCAAGACTACCCCTGAACACTAGCTTAAAAAACAAAAATAAATAAAAGAAGAAAAGAAGGGGAAAAAAAAGCTACCCACCTTTCCAAAGCTGCCTTTTCCTAATACTTTGATGAAGTTGAACTCTTCAAGACCTATTCTCTTGCTCTGGGCCTGTTTGACCTCCCCATTTTCACCATTCTCCCCAGGTTTGTTAAGCTGGTTGTCTGTTGATGTTGTAGCTGTTGCTCTGTGTTCTTCTCCCCGATTGTCAAAAGATAATGCTTTCCTAATGTTGTTTTCCAGCTCTTTGATTTCTGTGGAAATGCAAGGAAAAATTAGTTTTGACCAACTTTGTCAGAAAACCAGCCTGTGTTAGTCTGTATCAGTGTGGGAAGGGACATTCATCATCTCTGAATGCTGAATGTGTTTAAGAGCATTCTGTGGTTAATGATACATGTTTAGCAAACTGCTTCTCCACCTTACAGTAATCAGCCAAACCCCTGCTCTAACAGGAAGGGCGGCCTTTTAAAATGAACTTAAGAAGATGACATATCCAAAACTTGAAAGATAAGTCAGAATAGTAGCCAAATAGTTGTTCTAGTGACTTTGGGTGTTCCTGTACCACAGAGAAGTACTTTGTTTTGAATATCCCTATCTTCCTGTAGCACTTACTCATCTTCCTGCTTAAGTATTTTAGAGCTGTCTCCAAAAGTTCAAAGGACAGTTGGGCGTCCCAGTCCTTGAAGTCAACATGAATGGAGCATCTTATTCAGCTCCAGCTGTTATCAGATGCCTGCCAATAAAGTGTTTGACCACTTCCTAGTGCTGCTTCAAGCAGCAATTGTGTAGATCTGCTAAATGGTTCTGAAGGTTTCTCAGTATTAAATACAGAGAGCCCTGGTGACTAACAGTCCTCAGGGTCTGCCCCAAGCTTCTGCATGGCACTTCTGCCTGATGACCTTGGAAGTAACAACTTTACTGCACAGCTATAAAGGTCAAATTACAAGGAGAATAAGAACAAATTCTTGGTTCTTGTTTTAAATAAAACATCAGATATTTTTAAAAATTATCATTTTATGAAAACAATGTTTTGTGAAACCAAAAGGTTGACAAATTTAAATCAGTTCTGGATTCAGAGGTCACAGATTTCTAATTTTTAAAAGCAATTAGATCAGACTCAAAAAATGCTGCTGACATACACATTCTGTCAATCAGCTGCTCAGCTCAACGAAATCAGGTCATATCAGGGAAGATTAAAATGCCTGTGCCCAAATCTATGTATAAAATAAATTGCTGAAAGGAAGCTCGGTTTTAAGAAGCCTCTAGAGATCACATGGACATGCTAGCATAGCCTGTCTGGATGCAAGATTTATTACTACTAACATTCAACATGGAATTACAAGGAGTGAATTTTATCTCAAAAACTTATTAACAGATGGGTTTTCAGGTAAATAAAGGCTCTCTCTCAAGTTCTGTGTTACTATTTAAAATATTTTCCAGTCTTACAAGAGAATACATAAACTACTTCCATAAATATATTTTGTTGACAAGGACCCATATAGTAAAGTTAATAATATCTTAAGATGATTGTTTTATAATTTTCCCTTTAAAAGCCACCTATTTTCACAGATTTGAATTAAATGAGAAGCAGGCCTTTTTAGAAAAGATTTTACAGTTCATAACTTTAAATGCTTCAACTTCTGGTAGTAACTGCTTTATTCATTTGCATCTACAGAGGTTTATGATCATAGATTTTTTTTACTCCAGGAAAATGTGCGACAAAATATGTTAGATAGGAAATAAAAAGATTTGTTTGACCTTGATCACACGGAGATGTTGGTGCTGATTTCGACCTATCTTCTTCTGATGACGCGCATCCTGGAACTGGTGGTTGAGTCTCTGCACCTGCAATTAGCTAAGAACAATTCCAAAAGGGGTGATCTTCCTGCGCCATGAGGAAATGTAATTCAACAACTTTAGTTCAAAAGTAGAAGTATGAAGGAAAGTGAAGATCTTTTATCATTATGGATTCCCACTGGCAGAGCCTCAGCCATACAGTAGATGGCATCACATGAAATGGAAGCCATAATACAAAGAGAGAAAAAACAGGCAACTGAAAGAAAAACAGGTTCTTAAGATGAAATAAATGCAGTGTATATACCCAGTGAGTGGGAAAGTTTTAAGAAGCCACCATGAGTCTGTATTCAAATTCATCCACTAAATACATTTAACTGCAACATGCATCAGCAAGCACTGCAAACTACCTCATGCAGTAACAACATGACGACACCTTTTCCCAGGAGTGTCAGATCAATTAATTCACCCTCGAGTTTCCTACATTTCTGAAACATTTTAAAACAGCTTACAGGGGATCCCAGTGTGCAAAAAGCAGGAAAATGAACAGAAGCAACTGTCAATGTTGAAAGAAATTACGGCACAAATTGCCTTTTTCTGTGAGACCAGTGGGTCTGTTGTGACAATCATGCAAACAGAGATACAAAGTGTGGGCCCATTCTCACCCAGTACACATCACTCAGGTATAACTCCATCAGTTTTGGATGTACTTGGGGTGATCTATGCTTTTTATTTCTACAACAGCCTGGTCATTCCTACAAAAGGCATGAAAACTCTAGAACTGTAATCTGGCAAACATCTCCTCTTCATGAGAATCAGCACATTGCTTGTTTATCAACATTTACAACACTATGGAGGGAGTAGTGCTGTCTGCTAATCAATCAATCAATTATTCAATGACAATTCTGAGCCACACCAGATATTTATGCTTTTAACTGTTGCCAAACATTGTCTGTCTGTCAAATGTCCTTCCTCAAAATCCTTCCAGAAATTATAGACTAGAGACCTGCAATCTTGTACCAGGTCAAAATAAATTTCATATCAAAGTTCAGAATAGGTGATTTACACTTACAAAAAACCCCTAAGTCTTAGGTACTGACATATTAAAAAATTACTGTGCAAGTCATTTGAGTAGGATTGAATTCCAACTAATAAAATTACAATATAGTCACACTTATCTGGGTTTTTTTTTTTTTTAATGTGACAATATATAGTAAAATTACCTTTTTCCTCCTCTGCCCACTATTAGTGATCTTATCTGGAGTGACTCCAAGATCTGCAAGAACTTTAGCTATGCCTCTAGCATCCACTCCACAGTTTGGTGCCACATTTGTTTCACAGCGTCGATGTACATTCATCTTGCAAACTGCAATGAAATACAAAGTAATCCAGTAAACAAAATACTGTCTTGGCATTCATTTGCCTTACCTAAATCAAATCTTAATGGACCTATCAATAACTTTTTCAAATAAATACAATCTCAGTAGCAAAACACTTAGCTGGATTTGAAGGTATACTTCAATGCTAATATAAAGCTATTAACGTGATTATCATTCTTCTGATATGATAATGTAGAGTTGTATTTTCATACAGTGCCCAGAACAGACACAAGGACAAATGAAACTACTGAATCATCCTGTAACTTTTAAATTAATTTGAATTAGAAGGAAAGACCTTCAGATTGTGGATTTTAACTGTCCACACAACATTAAATCCTTATGTATTATTGCTTCTTACACTATTTCACTGAAGTAGATTAGCTTCTAAGGTAGGCAGCCATAAAACTCACAGCGCTTTAAGTTTTAATAAAAATTAAGGGTTAGACACCTACTTTATTTAGATGGCAATCCTGTTACTAAGCTCTTTCCCTTAAATCTCCTGAAACGATTATATTATATTAAGGAGAAAAAAAAAGGCTACTTTGCTTCCAGATTATGGGGCAGAGGCAACAACACAGCTTCATTAAAACTCGTGGAGTGGATTTGTTAGGACCAGATGACATTTTATCTGAGACTTCAGTGCCCTCTTGTGGAGAGAGGCATAAGGAGAGCACAGCTGCAAGTGTGATTAAATCCTACATTAATATTCAATTGTTCAAATTTCTCACTTCTTTATTTGTTAGAGAAAAGTAAATTATGAAAATATGTATTTATAAAGTTACATTTCATTATATTTTTTACCAGTAAAGCTTTCGTTGTACAGCCCATTAAGAAAGAAAACCACATTTGCCTGAGAGAGGCACTGAATCTGGTCATAACCATGCACTTCAGAAAGCTGGTGACTTTCCATTTTAAGTACGTTTCAGCTCACAAGAAGAGCAAAAAGAAATAGCTAAACATGATATTTTCAGTGAATGTACATTCAGTGACAAAACCTCAGCAGTAGGTAAAACGTTTGAACTAGGATCCATAGACGAGGACATTGAGGAGCCAAAGTGCTTGAAATAGCAGGAAAATTTTGTTCAGTCCCACTTCATGAATGTATTTTGTAAAAAGATGCACAGGAATAACCACTGAAAGAAACCTGAAGAAGAATAAATCTCCGTTATATGCTCTTCATGGTGTTAATAACCACACTGAGCAAGGAAGTACACCTCTGAAGGAGTCACTCAGCACTTGTTAAAGAGAGAAAACCAAGCAAAATGACATTTTCAGTTCAGGTGAGTTCTAGATTTCATGCAGAAAACACTGCACTTTTATAGACAATAATTTTATGAACATGAAAAAAGCAACACAGACTCTCTGCACTATTGTTTCTATGCATCTGCTACACAGTATGAGAAACAACAGTTAAGACCAAATGAACAGTATGGTACTCGAGTTAGAACATTAAAGAGAATTCATATGGCCCAAATTAGGTAGAGAGATACTATAGCTCTGGTTGAAAAAACAGAATCAAAGAGGAAAAAGCCCAGATTTAACTGAAGAGTCTCCACTGAATGCATCTCTATCATAATTAAGACAGCGTTTGAACAAAATCTTCAATAGGTGCAAATAGCATTTAGAGTCTAACATTTCCTCACTGTTCACTAGCTGGAATCACAAGGGAAGGCTTGAACTTCAGAAGTCTCACTGTGTATAACTTTGCTGTGAAAGATCTTCTTTCCCTTGCTGCTCAGCAACTTGTGACATGAAGCACCACCATGACATGATCATGACCTTCACCTATACTTATGTGTCATCCTAAATACTGCAAAGGATGTATTTTTATAGATAATGTATTTATACATGCAGGTGTGATCCCATGTTTCTGATGTTGAGAGAAGTACACAACATGATTTTTGTATTTATGACAATGGACCTATCCATTCCTAAGGCATAACAAAATGAAAATGCTTATCATTCCACTAGGCACTGCTTCCTAACAACCTGATAATCATTTCCTTCATTACATAATTTCCTTTCACTTACAAATGGAAGTATTTCATTAACTATTTCTAAAATATTACTTTGCTTTACAATTGTTTGTACTCTTTTCTCACCCCTTACACGGACTTGCCCGAAACAGTAAGATATGGAACCCAACATTTGGAACTCAACTAAAATGACATAAATGCACCTTCCAGCCATATTTTCACATACATATCCTGTACAGAGTACATAGTCCTTAAGTGGCAGAACATAATAAATCCTTTATTTTCTGGAATAGAGGGGCTAAGGAGACCATCACAAAGGATGATTTAGTTGGGTATCAGAATACCTCATATTATGGACATGTGCACACAGGTGTGGTTCTACCTACTCTAACCAATACAAAACAGCAATTTTTGAAAATGGTATTAAAGGGAAAAGTAGATGGAATATTGATGTTTAAAAAGTTTAACAAACCTGAAAACATAAAAGGCATATAAACTGAAGCTATGTAAATTGTCCTGCTTATCATCATCTTCTGTTAACTTCTAATATCCTGTGTGGCAATAAACCTACACAGGAGTGAGTGCAAAATGTGTTTCTTAACATCTGACCTCTGCAACTGTTACTGACTGGTGCTGCCAACAGGGTAAAGACCATATTCTAACCATGATGGAAATCCTTACATTGCTCCACTGCTTATTTTCTATTTATTTCTGCACATGCTGACATAGCAACTTGAAGTCTTTCCAAGTCTCCAAGTCACTCACAAAGAAAAAGAAAAGCTCTGAAGCTTACCTTTGCATTGTAAACCTTGTCTCAAAAGACCCCAGAGCAATGAACCACAGTGGTCACAGAAGGTGGGCACTTTGTAATTGTGAATGCTGAACTTGTGAGGCATGTTGACACTGAAACGTTGGGATCCCACTTGCTGAAAAAGGACAGCACAGCACATTTCATTTTAATTAATTTCTTTGCAATCAGTGTATGATGAGGCCCTGTTGCATTTTGAAACCACACAGAATTCAAATGAGATGAAATAGATCTGTGCTCAGATGATGACCGTTGCATTAGATACACTCCAACTCCAGAATTCTTGTCACTACTTTATCTGGGGAAAAGAGGGGGAAGGGCTGCTGTTGTCCAAGAGATAAAGACTAAAGTTTACTTCCTAGTACTTTTGGGAACAACAAATACATAGCTATCAGGAAAGATCTCAATGTGGAAGGCAAGGAAGTCACTCCCAATTGTTTTAGGAACACGAGGCCAAACTAATACAGGACTAGAAAAAGAAATATATCATAAACCCTTTACCTTTTCATATCCCACTCTTCTTTGGATTATGATAATGACAATGATAACCTGTTGTGTTCAGGGATTCCAAGGTATGATTACTTACTAATTAAAGGATGTCATTGATAAGTTTTCAGAGTGGCCATTGCACTGCAGGAGATTTATTTTTATGTTTTTCCTTCCCTTTTCTATTACCGCTGGCTTTTTTCCAGTGATCTAGTACCCCTTCTAAACAATGAGACTATCAGCAAAGTATGCAAGTCTCCACCAGTCTGGAGCCTGGGAATATAAACCTGCACAAGATTTTGTATATTCCTGCGAGTACTACACAAAACCAGCACTAGCCCAACACAGTGCTTTATCACAATTGTATGCATGTGATCACATTTTGGATGTAAAATACTGGTTGTGGACCAGATATTACAGAATGGTCCCAGTAAGGAAAATGCTAGTGAATTGCACAGAAAAAATGAGATCATGAGTTAGTGCCTCAGTCAAACTCATGCTGAAGTCTAAAGAATAGATTACAACTGCCCTGTTACATACAACTCTGATTTGTAACTTAAAGGCAGGCTTTTTCAACCATATGAATGCAGGTTTTTAACAAATAAAATGATGAAATGTAGGGGTCTTTTGAGTGGCCAAGGAACTGTGATCACCCAAAGACCACCTCACCTAAGCCTGTGGTGAAAGACAACCGGCCCTTGCTGTTGCACAAAACAACAGGCCAGTGAGCATACATTTGCTTTTCTGTTGAAGCACAAACCAAAAACTTCTGTGTAAGAAAAAGCATTCGCTGTTTATACCCAAGGGCTGCAACTATTTAAGAAAACATAACCACATTTTGACAGTTTGGAGGTAGTCTTTGTTGAGGTGAGAATTTGCAAGCAAATTGGTCAGTTGTGTATGTTGGTGTCAGATACCCACCCAAGCAGCCCAGCTCTCCAACCAGCTGCTGATGGCTCAGCCACACCAAATGCAGCCAGGGAATGAGGGATCCCAGCCTGCTTCTTGAATTAAACTGACAAGAATGGTATTAACTCAGAAATGGAGAGAGAATTTTAAAAGTGAAAAGGAGTGGAAAGAGCTCTCTGAAACTTTCAGCTCAGGTGTTACAGAAACTAAACCAATTAGAAATAAATTTCTGTATGATAATTCCCATGTAAATAAAACTGTGATAGCAATCTAGCATTCCAAAGCAAATGCTACACCACAAAATGAGCAGAAGGGCACAAAAAAAGTCTGTAGCATCTATTGATTAAACAGAGGAGATGATACTATTTTGAACAGATCAAAGACAGAATTTTATATAGAAAAATTAATTTATAAACATTTACCTCATCATGAGTTTCCTGTTTTTTTAAGCCAGCACACTTCGTTATTATAAGTTCATGGCATCTCTTGTGAACTACACAAGTGCAAACTAGAAAGACAAAAACAGATATAAGAATGAGATTTCAAGAAGATTAATTTTAAAGCAGAAGTCTGATCTCAGAAGACTAGAACCACTGGGACTTGAAAGTGTGCAAGTGACTGGTGGTGATTTGGTGAGTCCTATGAAATAAATTGGTTTACAAAAACAGAAGATAATGGACTTTCAAAAGACCAAAGAATTTTAAGATAACTAAAGCACATCTGCCAACTATATCATCTATAAAACTACAAATTACTTTCTGAAATGTTAACTGCAATTTGTCTTGATTTTTACATATGTGATTTGTTTATCTGATGAAGTCCACATTACATGAGACACAATAACAAAAACAATTCCTGTTTAAAGAGCTTTCAAAGGAAAACAGATATGAAGATAACTCATTGTAAAAGTCAAAAGAATAGAACAAAAAAGGTCAAATATTCTTTCTGTAACACATCATCCTAAGTTGATAGCAGTGAAAGGTTTCAGGAGGCAAACATTTTTTGCCAATATACATCCTGATTACTTAATCAATGAATAACATTTGCAGATATGACAGATAAGATAATTACTAGGTCTATCATACTGTAAAATTCAAGGTCATTAAGCAAAGTAAAAACCCTCACAGTGAAGTAAAAATTTCACTTCTTCCTATTTGGGTTGTTGTTGTAAGAAAAAAAATTAGATCAGAAGTCAAGGTACCTCTCCAGATACTTCTGTGTGTTAATAAAGTAATTGTTCTTATAGCATGTAAAGATCTATAAAAAATGACATTTACTTATTTACTATGAGATTTAATACAGTAATTCTTATTAAAGCATGTAAAGCTCTATTAAAAAATGGTATTTACTTATTTAAAATGAGATCGTAGCAAGCCTTTTCTAACTGAAAAATCATCACTAACTCAATGGTTTCTACTTGTTAGATGAGACTTAAGTACTAACACATCATCCCAAGAGGCATAAAGAAGTAGGAGCACAAGAAATTGAGTTGAAAAATGGGAGTTGAAAATTAAGCACTTGTGCAGTCTTTGCTATAACCTTCTCTAATGGTGACCTCTATAATTATCTCATCTATTTAAACTACAGTCTTTGCAATTACCTGGAATTTTTAAACACAGAATCTTAAGCAGAATAAAGAGCTCTCAATTTTAAAATACAAGACTTGAAAAATGAAAAAGCCAAGATATGCAGATACGGTTCCCTAGATGCATATACATGAAGATATATCTGGGATCTGATTTTCAGGGCTGTTAGCTGAGCTCCTACTTCATATATGATGCTTAAGACCGACAGTTTTGAAAAAAATTACTGTGACTTGGTGCAAAGATTGAGACAAACTTATTCAAATGATCGTGTGCTAAATTCTTAGCATCGTACATATACAATGCCTGATAAAAGTATCTTATTACTTACAATAAATATATTTAAACTGTCCTTATGTAGAATTTTTCTTACCTTGACATTGGTATCCCTGTTTTCCTATTACACCCCTGAAAAATAATAAAGTGTTTTAGAAAATGAAGAGGAAATAGTCTTAAAAATGAAAATATTTTTTCCTTCCCTTTATTAGATGTGCACATGTTTAAAGAAAAGCTTTTTATAACCAATCATCTAATAATTTCATGCCTGGACTAAGATCAGGTCCAAGTAGGAACATTTCAGGTGCTGAGAGGTAACAGGAAGGATAAGAGACCATGAAGGCAGTCAGAAGTACAGACAGATTTACTACAGCAAAACAGACAAAGCCAAAGGGTGCATGGAAAGGGGACAAAAGAGTAAACCATCATCAAGCAGACCTCTAAATAGACAGATTGTCAGTATTGCTTGAAATCGCCTTAGCCAACACAAAGTGTAACCCCCAGGCACTTTTTAAAGGAATGTAGCTGAGTTTATGCACATTTCATGTCATTTTACATTAAGAAAGACCAATTTATTACACACTCCTAAGAAATATTTACTATCGATCACAGATCTGTGCAAATCAGTGTCTCTAGGTCACTTTGGAAAATATCAGGAGTTCCTGAAAATCAACTGAAAACTGAATGTCTGCACCACTTCTCCCTATTTGAAAACTGAAAATACTCAAAATAATGCAAATAATTTCTAAAGGGGAGTTCTTGGTTTACATTGTAATAATAAAGACCCTGTACACTGAGCACCAAAATCTCTGTGTCATTAGAAGTTGTTCCATTAACTATTCCGGTCCATTTTCCATTAACCTCAGTAGGTTGCATTTCTTAGAAGAAATATGATGATTCTTAATCATATAACAAAGTATTCTGTCACTGTGACAAAATGTAAAGGTCTAATGTTAAGTCTGAATCTATACTTAGGTCTTACATAATACTAGACTGGTCGTCTACATGAAATTTAGTGTGCATTAGATAGGGAAATATGGAACTTTGTGGCTCAAAGGAGAAGAACCCCAAATACAACCAAATTCTAATGTTTGTGATGGAAGTTTAACAACCTTCTGTTATCATCTGCAACACTGTTGGCAGGTTAATGTCAAAAGAAAGAGGAAAAGGACTACTGCTCTGCCTCATTTTCACTGCAGCACAACAGAAAGGTGTGCCAACTCCCCAACTCAAAGTTGCAAAGAAAGCAAAGCCAAAGTTACTCCATACCATATAAAGTCTCTGCAGTGTGAGCAATATGTTGGTTGTCTAAGGTAGGTGGCCATGAACTTGTGTCCATTCACCTGATGCACCCTGCGCCGCACGGCACCCTGGCGCTTCCTGGGGCGCATCCGCTCCCGGAACACGCGCTCTTCATTGTCCTTGGGGGCTGAAACACAGGGAGAAACAATAAGCACTGCCTGCCACAGACACAAGTCTGGGGAACCTCAAATGCTATGCACAGGTAGATATTCTTCAAAAATAATAATCCTCTGTACCCAGCAGTGCAAAAGAACTTCCTTCAGTTTTGCATAATTTTTATTCATTTTTAGCATCAATTAGCAGAGGGCAAAGGTTTTCATTGCTTAGTACAGGAACTTCTAGTTCTTTTAAAGCTTCATCTGTAAATTCATGCTAAATTGGGATTAAGTCCTCTACATTTTATCACTACCAAGCACACTGACAACCTCTTAACAGTAATTATACAGTTAGATTCTCCTAACAGATCAGACTTCCACCTCACTTGATCTTCAGGAGAAGAAAAAGGTCCCAACATCCCCATGTCCCTGTACTTTCAGAAAGTGCTGATACAAGTGCAAGAAAGCAGCATAAAAATACATATTATCAAGCAGAACAAAAAATCCATCCAGAATTGACTACTTATTAGAATTCCTGATTGAAATCTGAGCCTCAGGCTCCAATAACCCACTTTGAGGCTAATACATGCTCAGCAAAATGTTCAAGGGAAAGAAGTTGTTCTTCTTAATCAACTACTATTCCAATTGTACATGAGATTTAATGGTAGAGGAAGTATAAAATGAACTTTTTAGTGAGCATGTAAAATCCTCCTTTTGTTTTGGCTACATAAAAGAAGTATCATGACACTGGGTTTTTTTTGTTTGTTTGCTTTGTTTCTACCAACAAAGTTTTAAAACTACTTTCACTGCATTAGTTTCAATTCTTTATTTAATTCTTTAATGAAATTCCATTGTTTCCCTTCTAATAATTACAGTTTAAATAAAATAATGAAGCAGTATCCTTTTCAGAAATGCACTGACTTGAAAACAGATACAAGCAATGCATCTGAAAGTATCAGATAAAATGGCAGGCCTCGATTATCAAAAATCACTTCCACACAAACAGCATCACTGTGTGTGAGAAGGATCCTCTAACTGTAGTTAGAAAATGTAGGTCTATCTTGGATAATGCTGGAGGTCCATTAGCCAGTTGCCCTCAAACAGTCTCTGCTGTCAGTCTGCTGCTCCCCTTTTGTCACTAAAGACTGGCACTTGGCCAAACCCATGCACCATGCCCTACTTCAGAGTGGAAGTGCACAGAGGAACTGCGTGTTTAAGAGCATTAGCTCTGCCACACCCCACCTCTCATACCCCCTGTGTGCAATCCCCACCTCGTCATCGGCAGCAGGACTTGTTTACAGGGCTCGGAGCAGCATGGAATCATAAATCATGGAATCATTAAGACAGGAAAAGACCCCTAAGATCTCTTGGTCTAACCACTAACCCAGTACTGCCAAGGCCACCACTAAATCATGTCCCTAACTGCTACATCTACATGTCTTTTAAATATCTCCAAGGATGGCAACTTCCCCAGGCAACCTGTTCTAATGCATGCCTACACAATTTTTTAAGAAATTTTTCTAATCTAGACCTCCCCTGGTACAACTTGATAGCATTTCCTCTTCTATCAATTGTTATTTGGGAGAAGAGACCAACTCCCATGTCACTTCACCCTCCTAGAGAGCAGAAAGGTCTCCTCTCATGCTCCTCTTCTCCCGGCTAACCAAGCATCTGACATTACAGTGCATGACTGACCACTGGATGACTGAACATGAGCCTTTCAGCACAGCAGATGAAGTCACAGGAGAAATTAGCACACCCACAAGCTCAACATTAACTTCAAGTAAACATTAAGTTCAGCCAGTTATTCACTGTGACCCTATATAAAAATACAAGCAACACTTCCCCACAGTCCCCAAGTAAAACACTGCCATATCTTGTGTAACTCTGGATTTTAGGGAAAACTTGTTTTACTGAAAAGGTGGTCAGACATTTGCACAGGCAGCCCATGATGTGGTGGAGTCACCATTCCTGGAAGTGTTCAAAAAATGTGTGCATGTGGCACTTAAGTACATGTTTAGCATGTTTAGCATGGTTTAGCACTGAACATGAAGGTTCTGGGTTAAAAGGCAGACTTGATGGCCTCAAAGGTCTTTTCCAACCTGAACAACCCTGTGATCCACACTGCTGTTTTGGGCCACAGGTATAAAATCAGGCAGGAACTGACCCAGGTGACTCAAAACCAGATGATCACATCTGTTCTGGCTCATACCCAGGGTTGTGAATCATTCATTTCTAGTAGAACTCACAATAGTCTACATTTAAGTTAAAATCCATTTATCTCATAGTGAACAGTCATGCTAGAGATGTTAATTTATCAGTCTGAAGACACCTACTTTGGAAGGGAGCTACACTACTCTCCCCAAATATCTCTCATTGTTTACAAGCAGGAAAGCAAAGATTAGTAAATGCTAGCAGAAAGCAGGGAGTATTTGGGAAAACCCCCATCATCTGTATGATATAGACAATATAGTGTTTTCAATGCATTCTTTTGAAATTAGTACCATCCCAAACAAAATTTGCCTTTAAAATATATTTTTAAAAGTCTTACAGAGGTATGTATTAGGTTGTAGAAAATACCATTAGCATACTGCATACGGTGCATGGCATTTCTATTCTTAGCAGAAAAGTGAATTTTTCATAGTCAGAATATGAGCAAGTTTCAATATAAACCATTTCTTCTCATGGTATTTCTACTAAATAGTCACAGAGGTTTATCGTTTCCTCAGTAAAGGCCGTTTCTTTATGTAATGTACATTCTGTTCCCTGTTTTGGTTTTGAGTCCTGTCTCCTGTATGATTCAGTTTATCCTTTTTAAATGCATTTCTTACATTTTATTTTCAAAAGATGGAGTAAGAAATGATGAAAATTTCCAAGTGTTCATGGAGAATGCTGTCGATGGAGCACATTGAGTTTAGGCTTCATATGATGGTACTTGAGAACTGGCAAATTTAGAACTAATTTTACTTCAAAACCATAGCCAGTAATGCCACTACTTCTTTTCACTGAAGCCAAGAGTAACTCTTGAGTCATTTGTAAAACAACAGCATATAATTGCTTTTATATACCCACATGTACATACATACATAATGCCTACAATTTTAAAGACTCAAAAGACTTGCATGCTTAAATCCAAGCTCTAAGGGAAGTGTTATAAAAGTCAGAAGTATCTGGCATGAAAAATTGCACAAAACTCATAAATACCTGCAAAATGGAGGCTTAAATGAACTGTCTGAACTACATTTAATGCTGTTCATTGTGTAGTATCCATTAAGCAGAAATATGTCACAACTTAAATGTAATTTCTTAAAATTTTAAAGAAAGGAAAGTACTGTATAACGGTCAGCAATCTTCAAAGGAAACTAGATTGGGGGGGTAAGACCTGTACACCAAATATCAAAGGCTGAACCGTGTCAGGTCTTGTTTCATACTAAAACAGTTTCAGCATAAATGAGAAGGGCTCAATGTGGAGCACTAACTGCAACAAGATTATCCTGCATAGCCCTGTTTTATCTTCAGTGCTCTGAGTACTTACAGAATTCTGACAACAACCAAAAAAATGCAAAAAATAAGGCAGAAAAAGAGCAAGAGAGCTTACACATAAATAGAGGGGATATCCAGCATTTTTTATTGCTGATGATGCTGACTTCTAAATGAGAACAATGCTGATCCCTTTCCTGAATCTGGAGGGGATTGTTACCAAACTGTCAGTGTTTGGGGAAGAAAAAAAAACAGTGAAGCTTTAGTTAAATGGTTTTTGCCCCATCAAAGCCAAAGTGTGGGCCATGTACGACGGTAATGCAGGAACTGGTGATGCTGCCAGGCAAACCCTTGCAAGAGAACCCTGACCCCTCGTGGCACTTCTGGCATGAAGGGGGTTTTTAACCCTGGACATCTCCCGGGTGTCACATTGCTGTCATCCCTACCTTACAAGCACCATCCAGAGAGCTGGCTAGCTTAACATCAACCTTTAATAATTACAACTGACCCTAAATGTACAACAATGCAAAGGAACAATGGTTTTACTGATGTTTCATTGCTGAAGATGAAAACTAACAGCTTTTGTATCCTATTTAAGCCTGATCACTTTAACCAGTATGTATGTACTGAAATCAAGCTTTTGTTTTAGCACTATACAATATCTAACCAGAGGAAGGATATTGATTGAAGCAGGAGAGGTAATTTGTCTAAAAATATGCTGGAAAGTGAGAAGGGGCAGAAACAATGTCCAGGACTTCTCAGGATTCAGAACGGAGTGTAACCAGATCATTATGCATCCAAATAAGGTCTCAAAGGATTATTCCCAAACTCTATTCTGGGCAGTAGAGTAGAAGCATATATACTGTCATTAAGATTTCTCCAGGCAGAAATCATTACAGGATTTTGCATTTAAGAATTTAATCTATTTTAAAGGGGAAAAAAAACCACTCAAAACCCAAAACAACAAAAAACCCACCACAAGCAAAAAGCTAAACACCCCCATATATTCACATTTCTATATGCTTTCTTTTGAAAAATCTTATTTAGTAGTAACACATGCAACAATCTAATTCCATACCTTTTAGAGAAAAAAAAGAAGTAATGTAAATGCTATAATATATCATAAAGCTGTTACTGATGAGCACAGAAACGATGTTGATAGTTTACCACAGTCATAGAAAGAGCATGACTTTTTCCTGTGTATTTTTCTAGAAGTATTATGTTTCCAGACTACTTCTTAAACAAAGAACAAGCATACACATTTTGCTTACTGTGTCTCAAATCTGCTTTATTTAGGAGACCCAACAGGAAATTTCTCGTTTGATAGGAGAATCAGATCCTTCAATAACACTGTATTGTTAACAAAAACAAAGATTCTGAGTGCTACTAAAGAAATTTAAAAAATGCTCACAGAATGGGTGAGTTTTAAAAGAGACGTGATAGCATGTGTGATAACATGTGTCTAGACATGTCTGATAACACCAGCTATTTACTAAATGCACTGAAGAATAAATTCCATTTTAAAGTATATCATCCCAAAGATGGTGGGTGG